GTAGACAGAATCATATATATCTACTATATGCCTCTTATGTATTGGAAAAGTCGCATGCAGGAAAATTATTTGAAATTGTATTTAGTTAATATTAACTGGATAGCGTTTCAGAATATTTCAACATCTTTTAATGTTAGAATGCAGTGAGTGGTATTTCAATGTTTGTGTTTATTGTAATTTAATAAATTTTCTTAGATTATAAACAAATTGGTGTCCTTGAAAACGTCAAGTTTTAAAATAATTTAACTAATTAAATGGCTTCAATTTATTCTTTACATTTCCTGTCAGTCGTCTACCTTACAAATATATTGTTTTTTTAATGATACTCATTAATTTAACATTGAAAGTTCCGTATAACTTTAAAATAATAGAAAAGAAATGAAATGCTATAAAACATTTGTACAAAAATGGACAAAATTTTCTATCAGATTTATGACTTTTCCCTGCTTTTACAGTGGGAAACCTAATGACATACAATTACCTCCCCTGTAAACACTGAAGATTTGATCTTTTCAATATTTGTCCCGTTTCAGAAAGGACGCTATCAATTATAAATTCTCGAGAAAACGTTCTAGTAAGTAGTCAAAATCAAAATAGATTGAAATAAAATCAAAATTTCCTTTTTATATTTTCATTTTCCTCCTTAAATAGTAAACGACGAGTACAGCAGGCTTGGTGTAAAATTGGTTTGAAATGTTGCTATATGCGAATAAATGCCTGGAGTACCAACTTCAATTTATTTTTCTACTGGCTGTATACCTCTCTGGAACATGCCAATTATTCGTATATGTATGCAGCTAGATCAGAGAAGTTCAGGCAAACAATTCCAAAAGGAATCGATTGATATGCAGCAAAGATTAACACTTTTGCAATCAAGTTACTAAACGAATTCAAACGGACCTCATCCCGATGTAAACATTGAATGTGAATAGATGGAGAAGATCGCAAAAACATGTACAGAAATCGAGGTGACCTTTACTTAAAATGGTAGAAAAACGGATAACCTACTTTAATTAAATATTTATGTTTAATTTTCTGAACCTACACAGACAGACTTTTCAATTGATATAGTCATGAAAAGGCAATATTTCTGTATTGAATGTTCAATTGACAAGAGCAGACGAGATGAGATGAGAAAATGATCCTTTAAATACAAAGGAAATGGTTTAATTTCTGTACGCTTCAAAAAATTGGTGACCTGAAAAATCTTTAAATTTAGTATGTACAGTACATGATTTTTTCCAATTTTGTTTTATCAATATGCTGCAACGATTAACATTTTTTAGATTTCAGTTTCTTAAGCTTCTAATGCATTTATCACTATAAATACTAAACATAAACACATCGTCTAATTGCATGTATACTTTTAATAACACAGTTTAACAAATAATTTCTTTAAAATCTACGATTGTTGTTTAAAAATAACTTTTCATCAGTAATGTCACCGGCATTGTTTTATAATTGATTTTCTCTACTTTTCAGAAGAGTGAATTTTCTATTGTTCTCGGTCACTAGATTTCCCACTGTTTATCAAATGTGTGACTTTTTTCATGTGATTTTTTCCCGTTTAACTACCCATCGTATGAGCGTGCTGTTAAAGTATACCGTTTTGTGTGCTGGGAAGAACAAACTCAATAAGTATCAGAAATTGACAGAAAACACCTTTTCCAAAAGAAAAAGAAGAAAGACGCCTATACAAAGAAACGTTCACAAAATACTACACAGAAAAGGCTTCGTTTTCTTAGAGGAGATGATGTCGTAAGCGGGAGCGATTGACATGTTGTGTAGTAGTGTAAATTCATCCGATGAACGGACTGCATTCGAACTGTGAATGAAATTATATTAACGACCTGAATAATAACAAATTTCTTTCATTACAGCTATCAGCATCATTTATTGACTATTGGAACATATTACTCCCCATGATTTAATACTATATCGATATGGTCAACTTTCGAAGCCAATGCAATATCGCTTTGATATAGTATGGCTTGTACAAGTTATTTCGTCCTTGTATTATAGATATTTATACACCAGTCTCATTATGGTCATCAATAGTGTAATGGGAAAATATTATACCTCATTTGATACTGTTTATTTTACAGCAGTTACAAAATTATTGATTGAATATTGGCTTCTTAAAGCCGCCAGAATCCATTGGAAAATAAATAAAATAACAAAGATAAGAACTCATTATCATAACGACTGAAGATATTTGTTTTGTCAATAACCGATAAAATTAGATGCAACGACATTGATGGTGTCGTAGATGCATGTCGCGAGTTGGTTCCCCGGCAAGAGAAATGGTTTGCCGCTTCTCTTCCCGGCACACGACATGTCAAGAACAACGACGCCATTGCCTCGTAGTCCTAACAAGTCTGGGTAGATTAACATGTCTGTGTCTTGCCTGTTCTCTAGCTGACAGAAATCTGGATCAGTGTGTGCATCTGGTAAAAGCAGAGCTCATAGTATCACAAGTTTTTTGTCTTATATTTGTCGCTGGACAAGTCAATACAACTATACATGCAATTGTTTGAAGCGTAGAGGAATCATAACATTCCCTTTGTATTTAAAGGATCATATTTGGGTCAGAATTATTATATTAATTGAACATAGATAACAGTAAAATGATACCTAGTCATCCAAAATAAATAAGAAAATTGAATATCTAACGACAAAACACGAACGAGACAAACAAAAAACAACGAGACACATGCAACAAAAATGATGTATATACGAACATGAGTCAATAGGAAGTTCCATTAAAACGGCAGTAATAATGAAACTTCCTATTGACTCATGTTCGTATGAAGGGTACACTATGTTACAGATCTTGCTCTTCATGCGACACATGTATTGCTTTTAATGAAAATCTGGTAATGAATCCATTGGTAAATGTATTTTATTAATTAACAAACCAGTCATTTTTAACACACTTATTCGATTACGATGGACTGTAAAACTATTGTCGTGATGATGTCAATTTTATCTTATCAGTGATCTAAACATAATAATTATGCCTGCCTGACTTATTATTTTTCTGACAGTAGTGTGACTATCTTTCTCAAGGATGTCAATGTATCTTGAGAGGAGAAGCAACTAACTGTGCTATTTTATACCATACTCAGGCGTTACTTGTATATGTTTCTCCTCATCAAGGGAAAATTGACTATTTCAAAACTAAGATCATCAAGTTTATCATAAAAGTATGAATCATTTTTTGGTATAAATTAAAGGAAATGAGCGAAAAATTTGTAACTGCATGCACATATTAGTTTATGCCAAATAAAACCCTGACTGAACAGTTCATGTTAGTATTTTTTTTATATAAAAATAAGTGATGATGACCATTAGATAAGATGGCATCTAGTGAATGTAGCAGACCCTGTTGTTTCAATGTTTATGCACAAATTTATAATCCACCGAACAGTCATCTATTATATATGTATGACTCTACCCGGAATATTGGATTGTAGGAACTTTGAATGACATGATATATCTATTTGATGGAAATAGTATTATGCCATAGTATTACTGTATTTAGATTTGATGGAAATAGTATTATGCCATATCATTACTGTATTTAGATTTGCTGTTAGCTACATATACTCACATAATCTAGTTTGACATTCTGATAATAAGTTTCAATCATAGGGGAATTTATCAAGTAAATAATCACGTGACTTTGACCGACGTTTTCCTGATTATATATTGTCAATGTTATAACCAAAAGTCATTGGTAATTTGTGTTCTTGACATATGATCCATACATTCCATTTTGAAATATGACTATTACATCTCTCGAACTGAACATGAATGATTTGGAATCAACGTATTTGATGTGATTACAATGCTGATTATTTCGCTATGGACAACAATCCGTGGTAACCGATTTCTCAAGTTACACAATCTAATTAGGGACACAATTAATGTCACTGTATTAGCTATAGAAAATTAGTCCGGTCAGTTCATGAAACCATTATAAAAATACGAAGATGTGGTATGATTGCCAATGAGACAACTATCCACCAAAGTTCAAATGAAGTGGATGTAAGCAATTATAGGCAACCGTACTGCCTTCAACAATGAGAAAAACCCACACCGTATATGACAGACATGAACCAACGACAACCACTGAAATACAGGTTCCTGGCTTTGGACAGGCACATACAGAATATGGCGGGGTTAAACATGTTTGTGAGCGCCCAACCATATTCATATTTTGTACGTTTTAGATCTTTCAAGTTCAAGACATAACCATTTAATAGTATGGTTTAGATGAAACTTTAACAATACGAGTGAAGTTCTTTATGTGTCCATCAATTATAACATTTCTTATGTTAGTTACATAATTCTTAAATTTTCCGTTGATAAATAATGGTGAGAATCACAACAATTTAACAAGATCATAGTAGTATATTATACTGTAGTGAAATATCCCTGCTTATTCTGCAATTTGATTGGTTACCATGGCAGGGTATATGAGCCCATATACCCTGCTAACAAAAACGAATATCAGGATTATTAATTATTAATGTTGAATCAGGTCACTCCTGTATAATGTAATTGTTATTCGGGATCTTCACAGGGGATATGGGCTCACATTCCCTGTCAGTTTCCTAAATCACCTTCGCCTGGCGGCTCAGGAGATATAAAATACTGACAGAGTATATGAGCTCATATCCCCTGTGAAGATCCCGAATAACAGATGATAGTCACTTGAGGATGTGAATATGTTCTTAGTTGGACAGACAATGCTTTTTTGTAGTCAATGAAATTCTATAAACTCGGTTTTGCCTCGGTTTTTGAATTGAATAAAACATCACCAAGTTTGACTCGGGCAATACATATTCATAAAACATGACCAAGCATGGTCTTACCTTTCAACATTATGTATACAGTGACAACCGTTCTTCCTTGACAATTGTTTATAACTGTTAATGTCTTTTCATTTCTCATATAGCCGAAAAATGTAAATATTGTTAAACATGCTATTGCAGGCCACGTGTGCATGTGCTGATTTGACCTTTAAGCAGATGGCAGCACAAGAATATTCCAATGAATCTTCCGCTGAAGTCCAGATTATTAAATGACCCAGGTAATTTTCTAGTTTTCTTAAAACGTATATTTTACTTGTATAACACCAATTGTAATTATTTATTAATTGTCATTTTCAGAGGTAATGCTCTTGTGTTTTCTTTTAATAACATATATACTGAATTCAATTACGCTTCTGGTAAAATTGCTATCATAAAGCATCCGTTCTTAATTTTCCTGAAATTTACACTAGTGCAAATCAATAAATATGTACAAGGAAGTTATCAAGATATGATGTTATTTTCAGACACACAGGAACTGATTCAGTGTTTACCACAAATACAGACTCAGTTGTGTCAAAGTCAACAAGATGCTGTTTTCCTAAGGAAGTTCTTCAGAGGAAGAGATATACAAGTTATAATGAAGGTAAGAGTTCTTCAGAGGAAGAGATATATAAGTTATAATGAAGGTAAGAATTCTTCAGAGGAAGAGATATATAAGTTATAATGAAGGTAAGAGTTCTTCAGAGGAAGAGATATACAAGTTATAATAAAGGTAAGAGTTCTTCAGAGGAAGAGATATACAAGTTATATTGAAGGTAAGAATTCTTCAGAGGAAGAGATATACAAGTTATAATGAAGGTAAGAATTCTTCAGAGGAAGAGATATATAAGTTATAATGAAGGTAAGAGTTCTTCAGAGGAAGAGATATACAAGTTATAATGAAGGTAAGAGATCTTCAGAGGAAGAGATATACAAGTTATAATGAAGGTAAGAGTTCTTCTGAGCCTGGAAGAGATAAACATGCTACAATGAAGGTACGAGTTCTTCAGAGGAAGAGATCTACAAGTTATAATGAAGGTAAGAGTTCTTCAGAGGAAGAGATCTACAAGTTATAATGAAGGTAAGAGTTCTTCAGATGAAGAGATATACAAGTTACAATGGAGATAAGAGTTCTTCAGAGGAAGAGATATACAAGTAATAATGAAGGTAAGAGTTCTTCAGAGGAAGAAATATACAAGTTATAATGAAAGTAAGAGTTCTTCAGAGGAAGATATATACAAGTTATAATGAAGGTAATAGTTATTCAGAGGAAGAGATATACAAGTTATAATGACGGTAAGAGTTCTTCAGAGGAAGAGATATACAAGTTATAATGACGGTAAGAGTTCTTCAGAGGAAGAGATATACAAGTTATAATGAAGGTAAAAAGTAAGAGTTCTTCAGAGAAAGAGATATACAAGTTATAATGAAGGTAAGAGTTCTTCAGAGGAAGAGATATATTAGTTATAATGAAGGTAAAAAGTAAGAGTTCTTTAGAGGAAGAGATATACAAGTTATAATGAAGGTAAGAGTACTTCAGAGGAAGAGATATACAAGTTATAATGAAAGTAGGAGTTCTTCAGAGGAAGATATATACAAGTTATAATGAAGGTAAGAGTTATTCAGAGGAAGAGATATACAAGTTATAATGAAGGTAAGAGTTCTTCAGAGGAAGAGATATACAAGTTATAATGAAGGTAAGAGTTCTTCAGAGTGTAGCATGATCAATTCTGCTGGAGAGACGGGGATGCGGACCACAGCTTGTTCTAGTTTGTGAACTGATTAAACGGAGACGATGGATGCCAAATGTAAAAATGCTATATAAATATCTATGTAAATGAAAACCAAAAACAGTGAAAACAATATATAATTTAATCAACAAATACAACTTTTATTATGTAACCCAAAAGTAGAGAAATGGAGCATTCAATACCTTCAATATTAGCCCGTATTTAGAAGGCATATGGCAGATGCACTAATCTTAAAGGGTGATTGGAAAGCACGGCTTTCCTAGGTTGGACTGAACGTCAGTCCTCAGACAATTCTAAATGATAAGTCCAAACCAGTTATATGAAATGTATCAGTTTTTCAAAGAAGGTTATAAATGATTTGCGACGATGCAAATACTAAACTTTAGAATATAAATAAATATCTTTAACCAATGAATTCCAAATATCAATATCTATTCAATTTAACAAATATGTACTGAATAAGCATCATGTAAATTATTAAATAAAGAAATATGAAATTTATAGTTTTAAACAAGGGAAATAACAATTACATAATAATCCTGTCTGCCACAAGAGGAAGAGATATACAAGTTATAATGACTGTAAGAGTTCTTCAGAGGAAGAGATATACAAGTTATAATGAAGGTAAGAGTTCTTCAGAGGAAGAGATATACGAGTTATATGAAGGTACGAGTTCTTCAGAGGAAGAGATATACAAGTTATAATGGAGGTAAGAGTTCTTCAGAGGAAGAGATATACAAGTTATAATGAAGGTAAGAGTTCTTCAAAGGAAGAGATATACAAGTTACAATGCAGGTAAGAGTCTTTCAGAGGAACAGTTATACAAGTTTCAATGACGGTAAGAGTTCTTCAGAGGAAGAGATATACGAGTTATAATGAAGGTAAGAGTTCTTCAGAGGAAGAGATATACAAGTTATAATGAAGGTAAGAGTTCTTCAGAGGAACAGATATACAAGTTATAATGAAGGTAAGCACCTTTTTAATGCTATGTGTTTTTAAAAAATGATTATTGTGATCGGCACCTCTTAAAATACTTTTATGTTACGATCGAGTATGATTGACAGTTTAAATTATGGGTTTGAGACTTTTAAGACACGTGTTTTCTTCATTCACATTTGGTATATATCTTTGGTTATACATTGCGAAACTCAGTTTTAATCTTATGGTTTTCTTCACTCTTCAATGATTCTATTAAGCTTTGATTCTATATTTTTTGCAATCGAACACCACGCGATATCTTATCCTATATTATTAACTCGTAGTGTTAAATCTACCTCTCTTGTCCTTGAAGTACCATTAGAAACTTTATACTTCTCTTGTCCTTGAAGTATCATTAGAAACTTTAGACTTCTCTTGTCCTTGCAGTACCATTAGAAGACCCAGACCTATTAATCACTGTCCTTTGTGATGATGTCTAGTGTTGAAGGATTAAGTGAATTTCCTGCTGCTGTCTTATAATTATTGTCAATGATATATAGCAGCGTTATTATTATTCAAACCGAAGTAAACATGAAAAGGACACATTTAAGATGTAAACTTAACTTATCAGAACGATCGAGGTAGATTTAAGCCAGGAAAAGAAGGACAAATACATAAATACATGTAAAACTATGAAGTGAACTGAAACAAACTACCAAAACCATTTTCAATAGATCAGTTTTGACTGAGAAAGTTACACCTCCAGTTACTTGAGAAAAAAAGAAATTTAACCAATATTAATTTTTTTAAATGTATATAACAAAACGTGTTCATTGCCTCAATGGTGACTTCTGTGTTTCCATTAAGTTGGTACTATTCCACCATATCTTGGTCAACATCGGTTTTTGGAGTGAAATACTATTAAAAAAAATACCACCCTTCCGTCCTCACCCCAACACTAACAAAAACACATACGCGTAGCACGGTAGTTACATTTTATAGGATGCAGATTCTAGTTTTGAATTTGGATACTTTATATATGTACCGGGTAACAGTAGTGAAAAAAATGGGTACACAAGTACTTGTAGAACTATTGACATAAACTTATGAATAAAGAGAACTTATGGGTCAATGAAACAGCATTTCGAGTCTATAGCCCTATTGGTAAAGACTTAATATACAAACAAATGGTATGGAAATGTAGTTTAGGTTTATTAGGACAGACCAATTCATCACATTGAAGTATTGATGTTTTGTGTTGATGGCATAAGTGAGTTTCCTATGGATGTCTAGTGATTATGTCTGTAACGCACACTATCGTATAGACTCAAGACATATGATGATGTAAGCTAATGGGACAACAATCATTGATGATATACAAGTACTGATCACGAGTTGTATATGGTATATACAAATCTTATATTATTTTTTTTTGTATTTTGTCATTTGACCATAATGTTAAGCATCGACAAACTGAAAAGAGTAAAATCTTTAATGAAATAGTTTGTTCATTCACAAATTGTATTCCAGTGAACATACACGCAATAAAGCAGGAAATAGGAAACACCACCATTAACCTGGATTTATTGTTATCAATATTCCGGACAATAATTGAGAGACATAGTCTTTACTACAAATTGTCTGACATAAGTAGTCATTACTACTGATTTACAACGTAAATTGTATATGGTTCAATACATCAACATACATTGGACTAATGACAATGATTTTCGAGTGTAGAAATGTCTGTCCATTGCAGGCATAGTCATCAAGTGAATTGGAGTATAAATTTAACACGTAGTGGCTTTTAATTTTTATATGAATAAACGTATGATACCAAATTCTGTGCACGATACCAACCAATATGTCGAAGAAAGACAGATAACTTCACGGTCGGAAATAAAGTCTGAAATTTTGAAACAAAAAACGGAAAAAACCACTACACGCAAATGAGCAATACCAACCCCCACAAAAAAACAGCGATGGACTCATTTATTTCATAAGGATAAACTTTACTAGTGGCACCCGTCTTTGCTCATGACCGGCAAGCATCCGGTTATATACATAGCTTTTGGTGATCAGATAAACGGGGAAAAAAGTCACAATTGTGGCTACGACAAATGAAGCGTTATCAGTGTTTAGCTATACCAGATACTATTGCTATTTAGAACAGACAGTTAAGTAAACGACAATCAATCAACCATCGTAAAAATCGTAATGACATCCGTAAAACTTTCGATCGATGACTTAAACTTCGTCGCTTAGAACTCTTGGTTCAATACCTTCATTTTTATACGCCCGTTTACGGGACGTAATATGGTATACCGTTGCCCGTCCGTCCCTCCGTCTGTCCGTTCGTCGTCAACACTTCGGAAAATAACTCAAAAACACTTTCACCAATTTTCATGGAACTTTGGTGAATTGTTCATATCTATTGACGTAAGCTCTCTCGATTTTCATAAATTTCAGATTTTACATTTCCGAGTTATGAGATTTTATACATAACAAAATTTGGTATTTCCTGTTTTCTGACTATAACTCAAAAATGCTTCGAGCAATTTTCATAAAACTTTGGTGAATTGTTTATATATATTGACATACGTTCCCTTTTGATTTTTAAAAATTTATGATTTTACGTTTTCGAGTATTGGGACTTTATTTATAAAAAGGGGTGATTTTCCCGTTTTATGACAATAACTCATAAACGCTTTGAGCAGTTTTCATGAAACTTTAGTGACTTGTTTATATCTATTGAAATAAGCTCATTTCTTTAATATAAATTCCTGGTATGACATTGCGGAGTTCTGGAACTTTATTCGTTGAATAATCGTCGAAAACTGTTCATTTTTCAAACTTTGGATGGTAATAGAATTTTAATCGCTAGGATGAAATTTGAAAAAAAGGCAGGACAGGAGTTTTTTGTAAAAAAAAAGGCAGGATGAGCAACTTGGCAAAAAAAAAAAGGCTGGATGAAAATTTATGTAAAAAAAGGATAAACTTAAAAAAAAAAGAGTGAACAATAAAAAGGACAACATTTTTCATCCTAACCCCACCCCCCAAAAAAATCAAATGGTAGCTCCCTTACTAGAAAAAGACAGATGGTAGGCAATAAAAAAAACCAAATTTACGATAATTATACTTGATACAATTAAAGAACAAGGATTATCGCTGTGTGAAAAAAAATATTGTAATACAGAGAAGGCACAAGATAGTAGTAATACGAACTTTTTAATGACCGTTGACACCAAAACGGTAATAAACTACGTACTTATAGACAATTTAAACAGAAACGAAATACTGAACTATATGTTACAATGTTAATACATAGACAACATAAACGCGTTATGGCTCTGTTCCGCGCCGGATCGCTACCGCTAGCCATCGAAACCGGAAGGTATGCCAGGCCGCCAATTCCAGTTCATAACAGACTTTGTGTGCTTTGTACGAACAATTGTGTTGAAACTGAAAAACACTTCCTTTTAAATTGTTCTCTTTATGATGACTTGAGATGGCTTTTATTTTCTGAATGTTCAAATTATATTGAAATTTTGCTATTTTAGACGATGATCAGAAATAAGTTGAAATGATGAATTGTCCTGAAATTCAAGCATTTTTAAGCAAGAGTATTTTTATAGTTTTAGTAACCTTTAAATTTTACTACTTTTAGAGTCATGTGATATTTAAATGAAATAAATAATAATTTTTATCTATATAATTTATAATTTAATTTATTAAATGAATTTTTGATTGAATTTGAAATTATTTAAATGATAAATCTTTTTGAAATTGTACAAAAAACAAATTTTAGGAAATGTTATATTTACATATATTTAAATGTGAAATGTTTTGTAGATATGTGTCTCATAAGCCAATCTTATGGCTGGGTACTGATTGTTTTAATGTATATTTTTATTATGTCATTGTATAATGTTCAATCAGTATGTGACAGAATAATAAAATAAAATTTATTATTATGATAAACAGGAAAAATATCTACGTTTATCCGCGCCACAGAGGAAAAATATCTACATTTAAACGCGCCACAAAGGAAAAATGTCTATGTTTAACCGTGCAACATAGGAAAAATATCTACGTTTAACTGCGCCACAAAGGAAAAATATCTATGTTTAAATCAGCCACATTCTGTATGCGCCATTCCCAAGTCAGGAGCCTGTAATTCAGTGGTTGTCGTTTGTTATTGTATATCATATTTGCCTTTCGTTTTTTGTTTTGTATATAAATCAGGCCGTCAGTTTTCTCGTTTCAATTATTCAACATTTTTCATTTCGGCGGCCTTTTATAGCTTGCAATGCGGTATGGGTTTTTCTCATTGTTGAAGGGTTAACGTTGCCTTATAGTTGTTTAATTCTACTTCATTTAGTCTCTTTTTGAGGGTTGTCTCATTTGCCAACATACCACATCTTCTTATTTTATACACATAAAAAAGTTAAGAGTCTGTACATCAACGCAATATACAAACAAAATACATTTTCATTTGAGAATGTTGCGAAATCCCCCTTCTGTATGTCCAGTATTCTTAACAACTAGGACAACGGACAGAAGTACAACAACAAACAGTACACTATGTGTCGATATTATTGCTCAAATTTTGGTTTTCGGTGTAGATTCTGTGGACTGTTGTTTATCTGTTAGGATTTTTTTCTTGAGCCAGGGTTTTGTCTGTTCTTCTAACTATTTTCATTCCAACTTTTTTTGAAGAATGTTCATGACAATCTTTTGTATTTAACAATAATAGCATTTGAACTACTCTCGTTCACTTTTTACCTGTACTAAATTATTTTGACAACTCTATAGAAGGCTTTGTCTTGTTACGGCACGTTTTAACTGTACCATATTATTTTGACAGCTCTATAGAAGGCTTTGTCTTGTTACGGCACGTTTTAAATGTACCATATTATTTTGACAGCTCTATAGAAGGCTTTGTCTTGTTACGGCACAACGACTGAGACCTGTTACTAAGTCTAGTGTCGCCTTGGCAGCAAATGTGAGTAGTCATAATCTAGAAAAACATAGGAAGTAATTTTTTTTCAATATCGGCCTGAACGTGTATTAAGCTTATAAGAAGAACGATTAAGAGTTGCTTTTCTATATATACATATAGCTTTTAGCTGACGAAATAATGTACGTGTAGCAATTTAAGAAAAGAATAATTAACTTTATCTGGATTGAGAAAAATGTTATATCTCTTTGGAAACAGCAATATGTATTAAAGCAGTAATTTAAATATCTGTTGAATGATCTTGCGTACTAAAACTAAAACCCACTTGTGTACAAATCAAAAACCCACTTGTGTACAAATCAAAAACCCACTTGCGTACAAATCAAAAACTAAATCAAAAATGAAATCAATATACATCATAATGGAAAAAAAATTACGTAAGATTTTGTTTTTAGACATACTGCGTACTTAGACATTACAGAGAGCAAGCAGAAGCAGATGAGTTACTTAATCTACTTTCTAAGCCTCATATGCAGGTAAAGTATAATTAACATTGATGACGAAATGTTTGCAAGATCATAAATATATGATTCAAAAATCATTATTTAAACATATAGCAGGCTAGCTTGGAATTGCGGTCGCATGCTCATATGGGTCCGATCAGAGGCAAGGGCAAACGAAAGACTAAAACAAATGTTACAGACTGAGGTGAAGTTGTAGTGTGCTGTCCAGTGAATAATATCAAATCTTGATTTCTATTCTATTATCCAAATTCGTATTTATACCCCCTTGTGAACTTTTAAATCACATGCCTCTCGGTCTACCTGATTCGTTTTGCTATCCCATATGAGATCCCATATTAACTTATTCAATTCTTTTTTGTGTTATTCAGACAGACAGTAAGTCGTGTTTCGTACTCAATCAGACCTGTACACAGTCTTGTACCTTTTCTAATATTGATTTACAATTTGTATCGTTGTCAATGTAATAACCATGGTTAATGCCTAGTGTAATCATGTCTGTTCGACTGTTGTCCAATTTATCTTTTTTTAAAGTATGTCGTTTTCTGTTATTTTCTCCAATAGTTGGCCCTTTTTTTATGGTTCATTCTACAACTTGCGCCTTTTCATATTTAGTTAATATTTCAACTCATTGCTTAACATAATTTTATATTTTTATTGAAATGTTGTGTGTCGTTTTCAAACATATTTTTACTAGTTTCTATAGTCTTTCCATCTTCTGCCCGACGCAGTATAATGCTTTAATGTTTTTTTTTCTGTCCTTATTTCACATTTCATGGGCTCTGCTTGCAAAATATATATAAAAAAAGGACTATAGGACATCCTTGTCTGGCAGATCCCGAAAGCAAAAAGTAATTTGAGACATAGATTTGCCGATTGTTGAAGGACAAACGGTGACATATAGTTTGTAACTTCTACGTCATTTGGTATCTGTTGGAGAGCTGTTTTTTATAAAGCCGTTTATTTTATTACATATTTTTGTCCTTTTCAATAATAATGTCAAATGTACCCACCAACGAACCAATGAAAGTCATCTCCAAATTTAAATTCTTTACCAATAAATTCAGCCAACCCCATTCCATCCATTTGTTAGTCTAGTAAGACAATTATACCCCTCCATCTATTTTATAAATGTATTCAATTGCATCCTTTGTTATTCTGTTTGAATCATTTATATTTTTTGCCTTTTGAAAACTCTATCAGTATGAATACGTTTTGAGGTTAAAGCTGACGATTTTACTGTAAGACCAGGAGTATAGGCGAAATAGAAAATAGAAATGTAGTGACTCGAGAGCCAAGATATCAAATATGTATATAGACAAATAATGATAACACCAATAAAAAGTAAACGAAGAGAAAAACATTGCAATTTGATGACGATTTTAAACCGAACGACAGATGGTATAAAATCTTTGCAGATACTTTATATAGGATGTTATCAAAATATATCACACCAGTTTATAATAATTCCTTTCAGGCCTTACTGTATTCCCATGACAACATTGCACTCAAAGAATATGAACCAGATATAAGTAGTCTGGCTGGAACACCAGACAAAGAGGAAGAAACAATCAAACTTGTACAACTTGTCAAAAGTAACGAGCCTTTGGTAAGATTTAGCTAAAGAAACCCTTGCTTTTTGTTCCCGTGTTTATTGACATTTTATTTATTATCTGATTGAGAAAATAAGGAGTAGAATACTAAATACTCATAAACAGTATGTAAGAAAGTGCGTCAGCATACTGTTTCCCTTTTAGATTATTTGCTGGTTATAGCAGATTATTTGTTGATTTATAATTATTTTGTTTAATTTACAAGTTGTCTTGAATGTGGGCAATTTAGAGTTTAGCATATATTATTGTTACTATTGTTGAAGAACGTATGTTGACTTCTAATTGGATTTTCTTTTGTTGTGTATTTTTTATGTTCAAAAGACGATGAAGTTTTGTAACATCAGTTATCTCTTTGGTTTGTTTGTCCAATAATTGAACAAATTATTATCTTTAATCACATTTGCAGACATATTTCATACAACTAATGAGATATTATTAACTTTGAATGGCCTTGATAATGTCAAGAACAAAGTACATAGTTTTTCTAGAGTGCTATTATATTTAGTCATCAGTATGAAATGTCTGTATTTAATTTTATACGAGTAACTATTATCTTGTATGTTGTTATTTCAAAGGGACATTAGCTACGAATTCGACAAAAAAAAATAAAATACGATATAATTTTGTTGTTGCAAGCATCTTTAAAAACGGAATAAAGAAATAATATTTCAGATTGACCCAATTTCGTCAAAATAGGCTAAAAAAATATCACTGATGTATAATTGACATCGGCAGGTCAATAATTCAACTGTTTAAATCTGTATTCATGTAACCTTAATTTGACCTTTTTGCGCATGTATTGTGAGGTCAGCATGTTCATTCTTTAAAAGGAAAAATATTTCAACATTGAAAAGTGAAACAAGGGAGACACTAGGAATAACTTTTTCGTTGAATGACCCGGCCCTCAAAATATCATTCTTATACAGGTAAAACGATGATTTGCATATGTTTTTAACCTTTAACATGAAACAGACCTAGAACAATCTGATTGCATACTCGTTATCTATTTATATTTATGTTTATATCGGGTTATATAATCGTCGGCAGTCTTGGCAGGTCATCTCGATGGATAATTAGATGGTGCCTGGTGTAAAATACGCACGAAAAGATAATTATTGCGAGTCCATGCATTGTTGATTGTTTCTTTTTGTAATTGGATATACGTTTTAATATGTTATAAATTAAATATGAGAATTTAATTCAAATCGGTGGACATGAATTTAACTCCTAATGCCCCTTTTAATTATAGCCCAAGAAAAAGTGATATAAATTGTGTTATTTTTTCAAAAAGATCTGATTGTGTGCTTTGTTTATAGTAATTTTTTTTTACTAAAATACCCCACTTTTTAGAGATTATAAAATACTGACTTTTAAGAAGAATGGTGAACTAATATTAGTCCTAAATTTGCTGTAAAAAGATAAACCTTGATCAAATAAGACGCCTACAACTTATATCGATGATAAAATTAAATTCCCTCTGACGTCGTCCTTTTACAAGAGTATCGTTTTTTATTCCTATAGGGTATAACACTACAGTTGAATGATGTTACAGGAGGAATAGAAATCGCTCGGATTTTACATGGTGGTGCTGCACACAGAAGTGGTACGTAATTTATAATTCATTCTCATTGTTGCATCGTAACTTTTTAATGTTTAATACTAATAAGGACTTATAAAATATGTCTTAAATTTTTATTATAGTCTACATACATTGCTTATTATTTTGCATTAGTGTAGGACAAAACTATGAAAAATCTAGTCAACTGATATTAACAAACCTAATTTGATTTACAATGACACTTATTCTGGATTTTCTATGTTTCCTCCATTGAAATACAATTGTATAAAATAATTTTGATTTTCAAATTGATGTCTATTGTTTCGTTTAATATGACTTTGTGAGTTTTGATTACACCACTTTAGCAAGTTTTCCGTTAAATGTGCACAGACTCTCATGTAGTGGCAAAAGAGAAACTTTAACAGCCTCTTCATTTTAAGACGAACTAGGTGTAATGACACCAAGGAATCTTTTTTCATAAGAGGTAGAGCCAATTTCACTTATTTTGCATATGCAATGTTAATTTTTTACACCAAATAGTTTGTAATATTTAATTTAAGGTCTAATCAACGTTGGAGATGAGGTGAAGGAAATTAACGGAATAACGTTCCATGGAAAAGATCCCAAGGATATGACAGAAATTTTGGTAGGGTATATTTTCTTAAGTAATAAGTAAGTGTATTTTATTGAGCATAGACCAGTCAGATTGTTGTAAGTGTGTCAATAGATTCCAATGCAACTCTTTTTTTCCTTTATTACATTTTGTCATTATGAATGAACTATAACTCTGTCGTATCAATTAGAATATTAATAGCAGTTTAATTCAGAATATCCAATGCCATTTCCGTTCATCCCACCCTCTATCCCTCCCGTTTCCGCATAAGAAAATAGCTGACTCATGAGTAGTTTACGTCTATAACATTATAACAATACGACGATTGCCTTGCAGTCTGTCAACGTTTATTCCTTGCGTATTTATCTCATTCTGTTACATTAAACACATGACGACTGCTATTGGTTAAAATACTCTTTTTGGTTTGTTTCCATAACACATACAATATGATATTTATTTGAGACATAAATATATTAAAATAAGGTTTGAAAAGTTATCGCCAGAAGTAAAATGGCCAATGAGTTCTCGTTGAATTTAACATGTGTGATGTATATTTTTACATATATTTTTTAAATCCATTGAATTATACGTTTTAGTCAGAGTTACAAGGAGCAGTATCTATGAAACTTGGCACAAGAACACGACTGGCGAAGGATCAAAGAAGCAGCAGTGTAAGTTTTAAATGTTTAGAAATATATACGATTTACCTCGAGGTAAATGTTTTGTGCTTGCTTGAGTTAAGAGTTCATTTTAATCGCAACTTTTCAGTGAAAAGATTCTACTGAAATTAAGTTATTGAAACTATTTGTCCTTCAGACAAAATAGAATTTTGACAGATTCGTCTGTTTTGATACTTTTTTAATACTAATAAACGTTTGGTGTATTTCCCAAAATTTTGATCATAAGCGAACCTGAAGGTCATTCCATGCACTGAGCCCGCCTCTGGGGGCGGGATTGTCTCGCTGTGTTGAAGACCCTTTGGTGGACTTCGGCTGTTTTCTGCTGATTGGTCGGGTTGTTGTCTCTTTGACACATTCCCGGTTTCCATTCCCAATTTATTATAATGTTATAAAATTTGTTTTGAAGAAATATATTCCTGACTGCATTTTTTTTTAACAATTTGAGGAACATCCCTTTAATCGAAAACAGATAGATGTTCTTTTCATATTTGATAACTAGCATGACGAGTATACGATATAAACATATAAAAAGAAGGTTAAACAAGCTGATTAATTTTTATATATTTTTGCAGACAAAAGTCAGAGCACTATTTGATTACAATCCGTTTGATGATCAAATGATACCCTGCCCCCACGCGGGACTGTCTTTCCAGAAAGGCGATATTTTATATATTGTATCACAAGAAGACCCTCTCTGGTGGCAAGCAAAGAAAGCAGGAGAGACAAGAGCAGGTCTTATTCCAGCCAGACTCCTACAAGAAAGGTAGAACGCACATATGTTTTTTACGAAAACAAATATCTTCTGTTGAAATATTATTAGTCTTATCATTCTAAACTACATTCATACTATTGCTTGTGTTTTTTTTTTTAAAATGGAGTAAATGAATAAGTACAATATTGAAATATTATTAGTCTTATCATTCTAAACTACATTCATGCTATTGCTGGTGGTTTTTAAAAAAATGGAGTAAATGAATAAGTACAACAATACACTTATACTGTTGTAAGAATGTCAGAATGAAAGGAGTTTTCAGGCCGACTTCATTCACATCAATACGATAACATATATACTGACCTACTAAGATATTAGAATAATATTCAGAATAAATATCATTATACGGTTTTGAACGATAGACATGATAGAGGCAAGCTCTTAATCGCATATGAAAATGTGAATCGCGATTAACATGCATGATTAACAGTTTTTTCTGCTTGAACATTGTTCTTAACATATAAATCTTTATCAGGGGCATCTGTATTAAAATGATTGCCTGGTATGTTATATACCCTAGTAAATGCATTTTAGGAAGATAGAGTTGAAGGATCGTAAATATGACATATAAATATAAATAACCATCCCATGTTTGTGAACTGAAAATGAAAGTTCTGTTCAATTGATATTTTTTCCCATACTTAGCCTGGAGGCAGAACATAACCCACATAGTTCTTTGATCAACTGCTCGAAAGAATATTGTTTTTTTCTATATTGACAGGAGAGAAATACTCAAGAATGCTGAGAATGTCGAGGAGGAGAGCAATCGCAGGGGAGCACGTAGGTACATATATTTACATATATATCAGTAAATATTATATAGTCAACATGGATATTATATTAATTAATGTAAATATGACTTTTTTTTATTTGTTAATAACCACCGGTACATATATTTACATATACCGGTAAATATTGTAGAGTCGTCATGAATATTATCATAATCAAATGTAAAATGGACTTATTATTTGTTAATAACCACCGGTACAATATTAAGATAGTTAAATGCTGTTTAAGCGAGAATCCAATGGATTATCTAATAGGGTTGCTATTGTGAATACGTTTCTGACTAAACCACAGATTTGTTATTTACTTCTGGCAAATGGTGTTTTTGTAACATTTTATCTTATTCTAAAACTAAACTACCTTTTATTACTTGTTTATGAATCAAACTATTATTTGTGCAATTGGGGTTTATTCATTGTTTTGGAGATAAAAAATGTAACTGGATATAAATGGGAAGCAAAAGAGTTATTCCTTTATATGCCCCATCTTCGATAGTAGAGGGCCATTATGTTTTTCGGTCTGTGCGTCCGTTCGTTCGTTTGTTCGTCCGTCCGTCCGTCTGTTCGTCCGTCCGTTCGTCTGTTCGTCTGTCCATCTGTCTGTTCCGCTTCAGGTTAAAGTTTTTGGTCAAGGTAGTTTTTGATGAAGTTGAAGTCCAATCAACTTGAAACTTAGTACACATGTTTCCTATGATATGATCTTTCTTTTTTTGTGGTCTCTTTTTCGGTATAAGTATTCCTGAATCTCAAGTTTATTTACAAATACTTATATATAGCATTGCTTTGTTAATTCATTTAAGGATCGATAAGTCCGTGCAGGATAAGTCCAAAGAGCGTCCGATCGAGGCGAGTCAGGAAGATGATGTATCATGCTGTCCTAAACTCCGATTTTGACCTTGGAGAGATACCTACCTATGAAGATGTTGAACTACTACCTCCTAATTCTAAAAATAAACGTCCATTGGTGCTGATTGGTAATTTGATATTGAAATAGGTTGTAAAGTTTTAATATAGATTTAAAGTATGAGATATCAAACATCAATTTACAAACCTGTTGAAAACAAAAAATAACCAAATCTATCTAATGCATTTCGACCACACTGTCAATCCTATGACATCTTGTATTTACAAATGGGTATGATACTGTTAACAAATGACTATAACTGACAGGAATGGAAAATGTTCATTGAGAGAAACGTGCCTCCATTATCAAATGATTTGAGGAACTGAAACGTAGTTTCCATGTCTAATCTGATTATCAATAACAGTATGCACCATTAACACCTACTTGGATACCCCGTACAATATTAATGATGTATTTTGTATCGGTTGTTTTGTGCAATTATAAGTGAATTGTATACTGAATAGCAAGTTTGACGTCTGTTTACTGAAATATCTTATCATGTATTACAAAAAAATCATCACACCCTGCGAATAGTAACACTTTATTGTGCTAAAATTTATGTTCGAAAAAAGAGAGAAAGGGACGATAACATGGACGACTGTTACATAAAATAAGAGTCCATGTGAAGCCATTTGAAAATGTAGTGTAACTTTATTAGCATATAAACTGTTTTAACAATATAATGTTATGTGAATAAGGTGCTCCTAAAGTTGGAAGGAACGAGTTGAAACGAAGACTGATGGTTTCCAATCCTGGTCATTTTGAAGATGTTGTACCGTGTAAGTAAACTAAATTTTGTCCAATACTACATTTCATGAAAAATAGCTTGGCGATATCATTATCAAAGATGTGTGTATAACATTTGACTTTATCATGTTTCCGACTTTTTTCCTCATGTTCTACATTTCTACATTGACATTATTTTTGCTAGTGTCGATTTAATCACATATTATATAATAGATTATCAAACTGACACAACGTAACCAGTAACAAATCGAATTATTTAAGACTGATTTTGTTAGTATTTAGGCTCTTCATGATAATTTTCCCCCAATTATTTGAAGTCACAAGTTTATATCGTCACCCGTTGGTTAACATTGAAACCAACACCCAGTCAAAAAACGTAAGACAAGATCTACTTCAGAATTGTGACACGTTGTATTTAAATTTTATCTGATCTTATGATGTATACATTATGGAACATTACATCTAAAGAAAAACGTGCTAGTGCACTGAATATTTTTAGAATAATGCATATTGGAAGATGCAATCACACAAACTCTCTTTTGATATTTTCAAATTACAAATAAAAGGTACATCAACTTGAGTATTGACGCCGAATATATTAGCTGATGTTTTATCCTTCTTGATTGTGACAATTCTAATATATCAGCCTGGATATTGTAGTAAAACTTTCTTAAGAGAACAGGTGTTATATGAACTAATCAGTATTTCACTGATTAAAATTCAAAGAATCAACATTTAATATCTGAGAAAAAATTTGAAAAAAAATCATGAATTGTCAATATAAAGTCTATTCCTCAATTTAAATTTGTAAAATGATGCCTCTCAAGTTTTATTTGATCGACATGATAAAATATATAAGCTCACATGAATATGGTAATTGTATATTCAAATTATGACCAACAGTTACATCTCGTCCAAAGAAACCTACAGAGTTAGATGGTGTAGAATACCACTTTATAACCAGGGATGAGATGGAAAGTGCACTCGTAGCACACAGGTAAGCACTTGCTATTGTATGTCAAGTATTGAATTGAAGTTATAAGGACTAAAAAGCAGGAGAAGATAATTCGAAGTAATCAACAAACATAAGTCATAGAAAAACAAAAAAACTATATGATAAAATACAAATAATAGAAAATCAATCCACAAAACACTGAACAGAAAACTAAAGATCGAACTCGAACAACACGATCCCCACCAAAACAACAGTTTCTACTCAATCAGTTGTATCCGTGGTATACATACAGCTCCGATAATAATACTCATTTCGTAACGTCAAATGAACAGTTAATAACTGTTATTTTTTTCTATGTTTTACTAAATGATGAATTAAAGTTTTCATTTTTTATACTAAGAAGTTGTAGGTTCTCATGCATAAAGACCGCGAAGAGGTGAATATCTCAGTTCTTTCCAAGGAGACTGTCTTTTGAGGTTAAGCAAAATGGAATTCAATATAGAGTACTAGTAAATGACAACAAACAAGATTCAACCCCACACTTCTCTAAGTAACTTCTAAAAGTAAACTGCTACTATCAGTTAATCTGCTTTTAACATGTTATTTGTTTTGTCTTGCCTCGGCGGAGTCGAAAAACGAGATTGGACATGCTGTTTATGGCGGCGTCGGCGGCATCAACAATGTATAAGTTTCTGATTAGGCAGTTTTAGGGGAACCACTATTGGTAGGTCAATGATATTTGGCGTGCAGTTGTATAAGCATTGGGACATTCAATTTCCATTGAGATAATTTGGCCCCGCACCCTCAGTCTTGGTCTATTTACATTGAAAATATTGCTTAGTTGTAAGATTTTCCGTTTATAAATTTATAAACTATGACGAAACTAAGGTTTCAACACCGTCGGCGTCGGCGGCGTCAACAATGTATAAGTTTCTGATTACGGCAGGTTAAGGGGAACCACTATTATTTTAGGTCCACTTTGCACATTAAGCTCTTCAACTATTTCGGTTCTTATGCATTCTTGGCTTTCAAATATTATGCATTGGGCGTTCCTGATGAAGGCAAATCAAGAAAAGAGCTTCGGACGCATGAAATTTTTAAATTGTTGTTTTCATTTTTTACATACATCAGTTTGTGATTAGGTCAGTTGTTGAACCACTATTGATAGGTCAATGGTATTTGGTATGAAGTTGTATAAGCATTGGCATTATCATGAACATCACTTGGCCACGCCCACTTAAACTTTTGGTTATCTTATCATTTATTATTAAAAGTCGTGATTAGGACAGTTTGAGGTGACCACAATGATATTTGGTGTGCATTTTAATGGAGATTATTTGGACCAGCCCCCTCAGCCTTTGTCTATTGACTTTAAAACTTTTGTAAAGTTTACGACTAGGTTAGTATAAAGGAAACCGCTTATGATCAATCAATGGTATTTTGGTAAAACGTATATCAACATATTTTGTTTAAAGTAATAAACATAAACTGCATGTAGCAAAAACTACAATCGAATATGGGCTGAATGCATGTGGATGTACAGGAGACAAAATCTTACGAAACATTACGATAGCCAAGTTAGACCACGCTTTAATTATACATTCTTTACAATTTGTTGAAATGTGTTCAACAATGGCCGCATGTAGGCTGATAAATTCCAAAGACAATAGTACATGTATTTGATATTTACAGATAACCTCTACATTATCATAGAATAAAGAAGAAACTGATAGGTTTCGGATTTTCCCCTTGTATTACATTTTTTCTTTCTTTTGTGATGTACCTTTCTAGCTTTAATTGCTTGGATGTTTTTTTTATTTAGATAATTTTCTTGATAATGTTTCCTATCTAATTTATATATACAGATTATGTGTCCGCTTAAGGGAGGTTTAAATTGCCACTTGTAAATTGCAATAATTTAAATAGCTTATAACCTGCAAGTTGTTTTCTAGATTCATTGAGCACGGCGAATTCAAGGGAAACTTATATGGAACGAGAAAAGATTCAATTCTGTCTGTGATAAACTCAGGGAAAGTGTGTGTTTTAACACCAAATTCTCAGGTAAATATTTGTCTTCCACCTTTGCATATGACTGTGATTTAGAGATGGAAAATGCATTTCTACATCTTTTTCTTAAGAAGTATCTTTAAAATGGATTGTGCTTTAGCATCTTCAGTATCTCTGTAAAGCTTTATAACGTATATCATGTTTATTTCGGTTTATTCAGTGTTTTAACATTTATTTCAGTTTCACTAAACTATTGGCCTCGAGCATTTCTACAGATCCATTAATTGTCAAAACATTCAAAATGTCTGTTTGTACTATTCACATATTTTGCAGTTTAATTGTAAACATAGGTTTATTGTAGTTTAGTTTGAATGAAATTCTCGGGATAAGTAAATATATAACGAATTATTAGTAACTGAATATCGTAAAATCATATATCAACATAGTATATGTAACTTCATGTGTGCATTAATATAAATTTAAGTTGATTAAAAGTTCAAAGAGAAAATTAAAATTATATACATAAACATTGTTGAAAATATTGTTGATTGTTCACCAGATAGATAAATAATGGTCTACATCAATGCCAATGCCTAAATGTTGAATGCTATTGTGCGATTTTATAACATAATCATTAAAACTAATTTGAAATTTAGTTATATTGTATAAAAAGGGAGTAGTGGGGAGGGAAGTGGGAGTTGGGGTTAGAGAAGTCATAACTATACAACTAAAATTGGAGACATCGAAAAAAATAATATTTTATCATAATGCAATGCAGGATTGGAACTCATTACCTGATTCGATTGAATCCATCACCCAGCTACAAATTCTTAAAAAAAGAAGTGAAGTGTTATTTGAAATGTACCTGAGAAATAAAATAATTTTAATGTTTGAATAACTATTCTTTATTTCATTACACAATGTTCCAGCTTTTGATTGATTTTGATCCATAAATACCCTTATTAAGTCGATAATTATTATTGAGCCATATAGGAAACAATCTGTATGACTTTCATTGATTATCTTAGTTTAAAAAAAAATCATTATTGTTTTGATGTTTTGAGGCAAAAGTTTTATGTTTTACTTTTAATTTAGTTACTAGTATGCATTTTTCATTACCTGTGTCTTTAAACCTAAATATATATTACCTTATAGTAAGGAATTTTTGTTGAATCATCCTGTATTGATTAACAAAGGGATTAAATTAGTTTTGTGAGTGACAAAATGACAGCAATGTAGTGGTGTTTAATTTGAAAACCCACGACGAGCGTTTCATCAGCAACAAAGCTCTTTTGAATAACCCAAAACGTTTGTTACTATAACATTTTTTTTATAATTTGTAGGCATTGAGGTTTCTTAGGACTGCTGAAATAAAGCCTTATGTGATTTTTATAAAATCTCCACCATTCCAACAGATACAAAGAACAAGACAAAGACACAATGCTGTCTTCGTATTTGAAGGGAATGCACGCCCATTTATGGTAATGGATACATTTATTCTTTTTATTTGTATAGCATGATCTAAATAATATTTCTCAAAAAGATCTTACACAATTTGTTTCATCCCATGAATGCTTGAACAGGCACAATTCGTAGATGCAAAACACATCATATATTAAATTGGTACACATTTGATGGAAACCACTGCCGATGTACTCACTTTCTCTCTGGGTTAATATATGCCAATAACCAGTGGTTCGAAACGTCCATTATTTGAATTATTAAGTTTCACTCATGAAATTTTTCAATACAAACAAGAGTTGTAGAATCTAAATTATTTTTATCCATCATCTTTTTATATCTATACCACACTTAATCCTTTGATATGAAGCTTTCCAGATGAAAACTATCGTACATACTGAATTAAATTGTCCTTTTGGACAGAAGCCAAATGAACTGCTTTAAACGAACTGTTTAACGACACAACTGATATGTATTATATTTAGTCAAAACGCGCGACTGGTGAACTAAATCTTAAGCTTGGTATATCTGTACTGATTTTTAAGAGGGATATTTCTGATTTTATAGCATTTATTTTTATTTTTTTTTTAATTTTTACAGTCTTCTGATTTCGATGACATAGTACAGACTTCAATGAAGCTAGAGCAGAAATATTGTCACCTATTTGACTCCGTAATTATAAACGAAAATTTGACCAAAGCAGCATCTGAACTGATCACGATAGCAAAACTAGCCGAAACAAAGTCACACTGGGTCCCAGTTTCATGGGTATGAAAACGTGGACGTGATGATAGAAATGTATCCATTGTGTGTCAGAAGTTTAGAAGGAATGTGAAGGATATGGAGTTCAAACATTGAAGAAAAGAAAGGATGTTAAAAAATGTAAAATCAATATGGCAATGTATGACGACTAAAGCATACTAAAGATGCAGCGTTGAAGATTTCCGTAAGACTATTTTGTTTGTAGAATGATGTTGAAATTTAATTTAATTTATACAGACGGTGAATCTTTAATTGTTTTAGAATGTCCAGGAATATAATCCGATATTCTTTTTATGCAAACAACAAGAAAAAACAAAAAAATAAAAGATTGTGACAAGTTAAGATCAAGCTATTCTGTAATCATATTGTGTTCTATGATGATGCAATTAATGAATCGTATAAAAGGATTAAACTACCATCATTGTTGTTATTCCAAAGACACAGTTTTTCAGTTCCAGGGTTGTAGTTTTCGTGATTTGTTTATACAGGTGCTTTGTTAAATAAATCATTCAGCAAGTGATCAATGCCACTGTTGCCATTAAAATAGTTCTTGACTTAAACATGTCGGTTATTACATTATGTTTTGCTCGGTCTTTTTTTTAAGTTAGACAACTTGATCGAATGCAGTGGACTTTAAATGTCATTTTCAGCAATAACGTCCTAAAAAAACCAAGTGTTAAAAGTGTACAAATATATAGACTCAATTTTTGTTTAAAAGTTGTATTGAATTTTACTAGCAAGCATCATTAAAAGAAATGTCTATTTAGATCCATATTGTCATTTAAAGTACATCTGACATTACATATTTATTTCTAAGTTACTCTCGTGCACGTCGTGTTTTGTTGAAATAAAACAATTCTTTTTTTGCCGCGAATGAAGAGCGGCATATTGAAATATGTAATAATTTATGTTACGGCTTTTCGTGTGCTTAAAGATATTGATAATTGAAATGCAGACGACAAAAAGTATCTGTTTCGTCCATGTGACACAAAAAGTCTGAATGAAAGCCATAAGAAAATGTTAAGGATGTTCGCTGATCTTGTTAGACATTTTATTAGATATTCGGAATCCTCTGATTTTATTCATGTAGTACCATAAAAACGTTTGCCCGCTTCCCCTTACTTTCATTTCATAATTTTATTACATAAGGTTTAAAAGCCATTTTTAAAAATCTTATAAAATCCTTGTTATTTTTTCATAGTTTTTGAAAGAAAAAGTGCCAATGTTAAATGTATGAAAAATCTAGAGAGAATCATTTCCTTCCAAATATTCAATGGCTTCTTTCTCAAAAACAAGAACACGAACTTTTCTTTTTTGTCTGCCTTTTTAGTCCTGTTATTTAAAACTATTAATTTATAACAGTTTATAAAAAACCTTGTTATTTTGAAACAAAGTAGCGAACCTCCTTAAATGAATTGAACAATGCATAATATTACCTGTGTTGCATTCATTAACAGAAAAAAAACACTCCGCTTATAAAGATGCTTAGTACTTAGTATTTACAAAGAGTTTACCAATGTGTACGAATAAACTATTCTGATTATGTGGTCTTGTATACATAAAGTACTCAACAATTCCACGGTAGACTTAGTAAGATTGAGTGATTAATCAGAAATTCAATAAATATGTTTAGAAATCGTGTGCTGATTTCTTAGAAAACAACACAATTACTTAAACAACACAAACCAAGTATAATTATTTTAAAACTACACTTTATTTTATTGCTTGGATAATTGTCCTTGTATAAATATTGGCTAGCCGATGAAAGGCTTACAAGAACGAATAACACCATTATATGGGTCGTGTAGCTACTTTGTGAGAACCCACATTTGATTAGCTTATGCAGTTTTAATTATAAATAAGATACAGATACACGAATACGAAGTTAACAAATGTGCAGTTAACATAGCCATATTAGGAACATTCTTTTGGAATACAGGATCTGCTGCTTTCTCTTTATGCCCACTCTTTATTGTCTAATTATTTAGTTAAAGCGGGGAAATTTGCATTAGATATTGACCAATTTTACTATACTATTCATTAAAAAATCGGAACTGCACAGTTAGCAAACTCATGTAAAGCTTAATAAAATGTTGAGTGATGTAGATAAAATGAAATTAATGGAATAAATTTCAACTAGACAGTAAATCAACACCACATTTGATCCGTCTCAAAAGAAAACTAAATGATATATCTAAGCTTAAGTGAGTTGGCTGTAATCTTCTTCTTGTAACTAGACTGATTCAAGTGTTGTCCTTCACACCAATATGCAAAAGTGTCTTGAACTCTTAAATTGGAAACAACAGTAGATGTTCAAATCTAATAAATACATTAAGCAGATAGCAATCAAGATAAAAAACTTGAGGGAATCGCATGAAATCCAAAAAAGAGCGAGATCTGTGAATCATTTCTCAGTGTTTGATAGTTCCAGTTTTATATTATTCTTGTGTCCAGCATTTCACAAACAACTGCGATGGTCACAGATAAGAGAAATTTGACAAGACTACCATGCTAAGTGTATTGTATTATTAAATCCGATGATCTTGGAGATTATACGGGGAATAATGATAAAATATTTAAAAGTTTAAATCTTTAAAAAGCAGGTTAGCGATTTGTAAATATATTAAGGAAGTTTATCTTGTATATATATAGTCACATACGAATGTTTTAATACATTGATATATACATCATAAAAGACGGGCGAAACATACCAAAGGGACATTCAAACTCATAAGTCGAAAATAAACTGACAACGCTATACCAAAGAAAAAGAAGAAAAAAGACCAAAATACAAGCAACAGTACACAAAACTCAACATAGAAAACTAAAGACTAAGCAACGCGAAACCAACCAAACAATCGGGGGGATCTCAGGTGCTCCGGAAGGGTAAGCATTTCCCCCACATAAAATAAATAATAAATATCTTTATATTTAAAAGACTTACTGACAGGTGTATAGGGAAACATGTGATTTATTTTATAACTATTTAAACAATTTATTATGTTCTGGTCTTGCATTTTAACGAGTAATTCAATCTACAATGTGCTCCAGTCGCTTGTACCCCACCATGCTATCGTTTTTAAAGACCCTCCTGAATCTACGATCACTCCTGATATAGACCCTGAAATTATAACAGGCATGTGATGTATTCATATGGAGGTATGAAAGACATTGTTTCTTTTAGTTTAAACATAATTTATTGTTCTAAAAAGGCAAACGGATCAGATACAGGTTCTTCAACTTAGTAACGTCTTCTCAAATTCATACATAAATTTAAACATGGATGAACATTACAAATATATGACTTTAAAAAACTATTTTTTTTAGCATGAAGCTATAAAAATAAATTACATAGACATTTGAAGAATCGAATGAATGGATTTTTTTTCAGGTAAATGTAACGAATCGGGTGCATCTAATTTTAGAATTAATAAATACAAACACACCGAGCTGTGTAATATAAAAATATGTTAGTGTACCTGACAAGTCATATGTGTGATTTGCTTTAAATACAAATTACACACTTATAGTTTTATGATGAGATACATATTAAGTCCCTTTTCTTGTGACGGATTAAGATGACAAACGGAATAAAACTACACAGAATTGTAAGTATCAATTTTATAAATTGAAATCTTTAATTAAAATCCATTGATACGTTTCCAATAACAATAGTCAATCATTATGAAAATTTTTTTTCATCAAAGTCGCACAGTGTAATACTGTTGTGTTACTTCCTAATCGATTTACGGGATTTAAACTTCGGTAAACTACTGTCACCTAAATTTAATATGCCTATATGAAGTGCATTCTGACTTGCCAATGTTTGTGTTTACTGTAATTTCCATAATGACGGTATATAATTGACGTAAATCTTTCAGACATTATATTACGATTATATTTAACATACCTGTAATGTCCTTATTATCATATGTAAATCCATATGAAGCTTTCCAATCAGACACACTTAACGAGGTGAGGTCAGCAAAAGGTATTATCTTGTATATCGTGTAATTTGGATCTGAAATAATATCACTAGTTTCATCGTCGCTACACATATCCCATTCAAATCCATTGTTATAACTACAGACGTACGAAATCCCTTCTTCAGAGATGCCAAGGACAGTGGACGAATTTGCTATTACACCAATTACATTTGCAACTTTATCATCTATACCTAAAAATATTAATGGAATTGTTTTATCATTACCAAATTGTTACTATTTAGTCCATATTTAACTAGGTTCGTAAATGATAACACATATAGATTTCAGTAGACACCGGTAATTAATCAATTAAATTGTAAATTTTCAATATCAACCATATAAAACACGAGATTTTAAAAGACTGTCTCTTTATTAACATGGGTATTGAAAATATAGTTCATTAATATTGAAAATACTAAAAATAGACATTATCATTTCATTTGATTCTGTATGAAAAATAAAAAGAAGTTGCAGCATGAAATAAAATGTATTATTTTTTTACGCACATAACTCACGTGTTACACGTCACCATACCGTTAGAGATAACGATAAAAACCAGACTAAATAGTATATTAAACGGTATATTAATCAATGAAATACGAGCCTAAGAAAAGGGACAACTGTATGCAATATTACTACAAGTACATATCATATTAAAGCGCACATTGTTCTTTGATTTTCAATTTACCTTCCCAGGTTTTTCCGAGATCTTCGGTTACTGAGCAAAGAACATCCTGACTAAAACAAAAAATTACAATAGAGTTAGACTAATAGAAAAAATCAACCATTTGTCAACATATGCTCTCGAGTTGTACGGTAACATGGATGCTACACGGATACCACAACACATTTCCAGTGATGACAGAAGACACAGGTACGTTTAGGATATTTAATGCAACTAAAGATACGTATTATTTAGGGTATAATACAAAAAATACTCCAACGTTTAGAACTATTTTGAAGACATTTACTATTATGAACTAGTAAATAGAGCAAAAATCTCGCTTATTTTAACAATCAAAGTTCGTTAGGTTAAATTTACTTAGCAAAAAAAAAAAAAAGAAACACATAGGTCCGATTCATTTTGTAAAATGAAGTTTACAAAACAATTATCCAGATTTGGTTATAATTAAGTTTTTTTTGGTTTGATCAGCCCTTCGACGTTTTTTTTTGTGTTTTGTCTTTCATGTATTTCGGCCTCAAGAATAAATAAAGAGACATTAATTTTTCAAAATGCGCATCTGGTGCAGTAAAATTGGCACCGTTAATGTTATTATTTAAGTTGCATTTAAAGCTTTTTGGCAACTCTCCTTCTGTATTTTTCAAGACTTGGCCAGGCCAAATGAAAATGATAACAAATCTATGGCTTGCATGAATTATTTCGATTCTAATAGGACAAATACGGTAATTTGACAAACTGAAGCGAAGGAAAGAATGCTGTGTGTATGGCTGTTCTATATTATTCCCTGTAAGATAAAAGCTACAAATTTCAAATAAATCTAAGGCTTGCATGAATTATTTCTTAAATAACCACTAGAAAAAAAGTGTGTTCTATTCTTGTAATTAATCCCAACATTTATTTTTGTTGGCTATTATTTACTGTCAAATTCACAGTTGACATGTCGTAACTAAGGACCGCCATGTTGACTTAC